CGCCCCGCCGGCTCCTCCGCCGCTACAGCTGCGGCTCGGCAAAGCAGCTGGAGAGACCCGGATGTCGTAGGGCAGGAACTGCGGCGAGGGCCGGCAGGAGGGGGAGGGGCGACCGCAGATGACGTCACTGCCCTTCCCAGCTTCGTTAGCCGCCTCGGCTTCGCTGCCGGCGCCCCAGGTTGGGGACGAAGGGAGCGTCAGAATCCGGGATCAGAGCCAGGACCGGGACTTTCACGCTCCGGCGCCAGGGTCTGGACAGAGTGTGCGCTACTGTTCCGATCCCCGTGGATTGAGAACCCCTCAATCTGGCTGTTGGTGGAGCCGAGACTTGGAAGCTACGCCTCGGACCTAGGTTCTTCCGTCTGCCTGAAAATATAAACCCCACAGTGAAGACGCTGCCTAGCAGCGTCGAGGACCAGTCCGGAACTTTGTGTTTTCTCTCGGGAGCAGTCGCGGTCCCTTTTAAAGCGAAATCGGTCCAGGTAGCAGCCAGCTCCCAGCCCTCAAGGCCCCATACCTCCGGTGCCATCCTTCCCCAGTGAACCTAGGAGGCTCAAGCAGGTGCCACGACACACACCTTGAGTCCCGAAGAACAAAAATACACGTGCCCTATCATCCACTCACATGCGAGTGCAACTGATTCTCGCACGGGGCACATGCTGAGTTTCTGGCAGGTTTTCGCTCTGTAGCTGCTGGGATTCCACATTATATATGTGCACATGTTAGTCACGTGATTCTGTCACTGAGAACCTCCAACGACCTCCAGTAAGGTTAAAGAAACCAAGGGTTTTTCAAAAGCTGGAGGATAATCAGAATAATTACAGCTGCTTCTGTGAAGAGCTAGAAATGAGCTACAGTTAATTGAAAGTGCACGTGCAGGCCACCAAAATCCAGTTTAGCTAGCTAGACCACAGAAAACCCGACCCACGCTGCTTGCTGACGCCGGGGATAGAATGACAAACCCTGGGCAGCCAATGAATCAGAACTAGAAAGCAGTACATCACCAGCACAGGTTCTTATTGGCTCGGGTGCCTTTCTTTCTCTCGTCAGAGGCTTAACCCTTACACCACATTTGCAGGAACAGAAGTTTAAAAGAAAACTCCGACTTTTAAAAGATTTTCTGGCACTTAACAAAGAAAACCTAAATATTAATTGTAGGAGGCAACTTTAAAAAGAACATCCAAAAACATTAGCCAAATTGAATTCTGGCCAGTAAAAAGGTGAGGAGCTTACTATAGCAATTTGCATCTTGTTACTTTGTATCTGTTAAAATCAGTTACCCTAATTCTTAGATCTAAAACTACCCGAATTTTTCTCTCATTCTGCAGACATTATTTAGCTGCATTTAAAGTTGTAGAAGACTCTTCTAATTTTTCCAACATGATTTTTTGGAAAAGTTCTGTTCCCTTCACTTTTAGACCAGAGACCTAAACCAAAATCAAATATCATCAACCACTGGTGTGTGGTGGGGATTAGAATTTCTTAGAGGAAGATGAAGGTGGATCTTTTCCAGGTATACTAAGGAAAAATAAAATTCAGTATGCATTTGGTCCCAGCATCATTTGAGAACACATTTCTTAATTCTCTATACACCTGCCAAAAATGAAAAGAAATTAGATCAAAGATCTTTGAAACTCTGCCTTATTGAAATCCTTAATACTTCAGACAAGTAACAGCATGATTAGCATACTAGTGGACTCATTAACATTCTGAAATAGAAAAGCCCATGTGGCAACCACCACTTGGAGAGTTCTTCAAATCAAATTTTCTTATTTAGAAGACTGAATCTGGCTCACCAATGGCAGTAGTAGACTTTAGAGAACCTGGAGTTCTTGCCTGTCTTTCAGCTTTCTTCCTTTAGGCTTTCATACCCTTCATTCCTCTTTTCTACACTTGTAGGAGAATCTGGGTCAATTGTAGCAGAAGAGATTTTAAAAAATAGAAAAAAAAATGAACATGAAGAGATTTTTAAAGAGACTGGATGATATAGCACAATCAAGCTGTACCTTCCTTGTGGATATATCTTATTTATGGATATAGTTTTGTAGTATTAGGAAACTCGTGGATATAAGATTAACATTTTAAAATCTGGAACAAAAATATTATCTGATTAAGTATGCTTGATACTATGATAGTCCCTTTAATATTATTAAATTCTAAGCTAAATGGGAAAGGACAAAATATGTAGAAGAAGCAAAAAAGAGCATTGAGAAAAAATGAAGGTTAAAATAATAATAATAATAATTCTCCTCCTCCTCCTCCTCCTTCTTCTTCTTCTTCTTCGACTTTGTTAAAGCCTCCAACAAATGTTCATAGTAAGTTTTTGTGAAAAATCTGTTGGGAATATTTTGGCATTGACTATATTTTAGTGATTTATATAGGTATCCTATAAAATTATCCTATTCTGCTTTGGAAATCTGTTTGTATATTTCAGTTTGGCTATGAGGAAGGAGGTTATGTGAAAGATTAACTTTAAAGTCCTGAATTTGGGACAGGGTTGTGGCTCAGTAGTAGAGTGCTTGTCTAGCATGTGTGAGGCACTGGGTTCGATCCCCTACAACCACATAAAAATAAAATAAAATAAAGGTATTGTGTCCATCTACAGCTAAAAAAATTTTTTTAAAAAAGTCCTGAATTTACTGTATATTAATAGCCTAGTAATTGAGAGACTTGAGGTGAGGACAGAGACTATAAAGAGCAATCTAAAGCTTAGTCTGCTTCATAGTACTTTCCCTTTCCTCTACAATCCTGATTTAAAGAAAAGGCTTACATTTCTTGTTGCCTGATTACCATTATGAATTCATCCAGGAGACTTACCCTTGGCCTGGCCTTGTTTGGACCTCTCAAAATACATCTCAGGAATTTAAGTGACTTCCCTGGGGGAAACCTGAGAATCCCCTGCCCTGAGCCATCCATCCTTCCACCCAGCAGCCAGTCACTATGCAAAAGTTACAAAGCCAAGTAAGAGTTGGTCCAACTCTTCCTTCCACCTCCTCCTTCACTACCTGATGTAGGTTTTTTCTTCTCCCATAGCCACTTCATGTGTCTTTTTCTTCTCTTTTTTTTGCTTCTTTTATCTTTTCCCCCTTTCTTCTTTCTTCTTTTTATCTCCTTTGCCTTTCTTTTTATTTTTTTCATCCCTGTTTTTGTTAGTTTAGTCCCAAATGAACTTCTGCTACCCATTTTCTCCTGAAGATGAATTTATGAGCATATGCTCTTCCTAAACTAATTTTGTTCAGGGTAGGCATATCCTCCATCCCATTCTCCTCCCTCCCTCCCCCCTTCCTTAATATATCATGTTATGAAAAACTTAGCTGTTTACAAGACTGTTACAGAATGAAAAGGATTAGAGAATCCTGTCATGTGTGACATCACAGGGGCAGCTCCGCTAGGGTGGGGCAGAAGGGAGTCAGCAGTCTAGTATTGCCTCTATGTCTTCTCCTGGCCTCTGAGAGAAATATGGGCAACTGTGAATGTCACAGGGCAAGTCCTGGGTAATCTTTGGGATAGGCTTTCACCTCAAGTTAAGTGTCTATAGCCACAGCCCTACAATACTGAATCTTGTCAGATAAGTTTATCTGTTCAATAGATAGTTACTGTGTGCCAGGCACTATGTTGGATACTGAGGGTAGAGAATGTAACATCAATGAACAAGATCTCCTGCCCCCGAGGAACTGACCTTACAATGAGGGTCATAATAAAGAAGTAAAGAAAAAGGACACCACAGCTTGTGAACAGTGCTATGAGGCAACAAGCAGGGAAATAGACAAGGGAGATGAAACAGGTGTTTTAGGACAGACCTCTCTAAGAAAGTAGCATTTGAGCTGAAAGATGAAAAGGAGTTGTTTTGTAAAGAATCATGGGGGTTCAGTGGCTCATGCCTGTAATCCCAGCAGTTTGGGAGGCTGAGGCAAGAGGATCCTGAGTTCAAAGCCAGCTTCAGCAAAAGTGAGGCACTAAGACCTCGTCTCTAAATAAAATGCAAAATAAGACTGGGGATGTGGCTCAGTGGTTAAGTGTCCCTAGGTTCAATCTCTGGTACCAAAAAGAAAAAAAAAAAATCTTGGGAGTTGGGCTTGGACTGTAGCTCAGTTGTAGAGTGCTTGCCTAGCACATGTGAGGTACTGTGTTCAATCCTCAGTACCACATAAAATAAATAAAATAATGGTATTGTGTCCATTTAGAACTATTTTTTTTTTAAAGAAGGCTGGGGTCATGGCTCAGTGGTAGAGTGCTCACCTAGCACATGCAAGACCCTGGGTTTGATCCTCAGCACCATATAAAAATAAAAGATATTATGTCCATTTACAACTAAATAATAATAATAATAATAATAATAATAATAATAATAATAAAAGAATCATGGGTTTTTTAGGCTGGGATATAGCTCGATTGGTAGAGAGCTTCCTCACATGCACAAGACCCTGAATTCAATCCCCAGCACCACAGGGAAAAAAAAAAAAAAAAGAATCTTTCCAAGTAGAGGGATCAGCAGGGGCAAATAGCCTGATGTGGAGAAGAGCTTGTCAGGAAAAACTGGTATACAGCCCAAAGAGAACTTCAGCAAACTCAAGGTAAATATTTCATTGTCATTCAAATTTAATAATGTTTCAACTTGGATCTTTAGGATTTTACTCTAACAATTAGGAAAACATGGGGGCAGGGACAGGAAACACATACATAATAATTTGGTGAGTAGATCCCCAAAAGCACAATAGCTTTGGAAAATAAATAAAACAGGATCTTCATTCAACTATTGAAATTGAGAAGCATTCCAGCCCCAGGGAGCTGTCCCATCAGATTATCCAACAGCAATTAGAAAATAGTAACCAATAAGCTTTGAAAACATAATTTTTGCTCCTAAAATAGGTAACTTTGTTAAATAACATTGTGTTCATCTACAACTGAAAAAAAAAAAATTGGGTAGACTCTTTAAGAAGAATTCTTGGCCAAGCACGGTGGTGCATGCCTGTAATCCCAGTGGCACCAGAGGCTGAGACAGGAGGATCAAAAGTTCAAAGCCAGCCTCATCAAAAGCGAGGCGCTAAGCAACTCAACTTTTGTATTGCGCTAAACTAAACCATACCTTTGAAGGTGGTTAACATGTTTTACATCCTTAACAATGGTGGCCTGGTTCAAAACCAGTGATGAAATGGCCATCATAATAGAGCCTTTTATCAGTACCTGGCTCTACAGTTTCTAAGCAACTACCACATAGACCAACCACTTTAATCCTCTCAACAACCCCTGTGGGTAGGCAGGCCAAGAACTGTTATTCTGATTCTTTACAGAGGAGAAAACAGAATGTCAAGAGAGGTCATAACTAAAAGAAAAAAAAAGAAAGAAGGAAGGAAGGAAGGAAGGAAGGAAGGAAGGAAGGAAGGAAGGAAGGAAGGAAGGAAGGAAAGAAGGAAAGAGAAAAGAAAAAGAAAAAAAAGAGAGGTTGTTACTACCTAGGATCACAGAAAGTAATGACTGGTACCCTAGATTTTTCCTGGGTACTCACTGCTGGGCACTCACTAATCATCACTAGCTTTTACATGCTAGTAATGAAGGCAACAGGGAGAGGGAATAGTGGGGGAGAGCACTAGATTTAGAGCAAGGCAAAGATGTGGACAGACGGTTTGTACTGGTTCATGAGAAAACATTGTTAAAGTTTCAGGAATATTGCCAGCTGTTTGCTAAATACAGCCATTATTTAAAATTATATAAACTTCTAATTAAGTAAAATTTAAATAATGGTACTGTATGATAAAAAGTCATCATCACTTTCAAATTATTTTAATACATTTTACTGTTATCCATGTTTTGAGGTAATTTATACATATTGTGTCTGCATTGTAGAAATTATATGTAATGTGCTACTGTACATCTCTTCCCAGGGTTGCCTTCAGCAGCTTCACTTTGATAGGTTGAAATTGACCATGGAGGGAATATTTATACTTTGGAAATTAGCAAAAATCACAGATCAGGGTTAGATTTAAGAAAGTGACAGAGAAAATGTTTTATGCAGATTAAAATTAAAGAGCCTATTGTGTCTATAACTGTTAAATGGTGAACAGCATAAAAACATCCAATACAGCAACAAAGTAACACACATTATTGACAAATTCTGACATATATCTTTGTTATTTTACTTTAGTTTTCAATGAAAATGTTAACCAATGAGCATGTTAGAACTCTACTGCTAAATGTTTGCCAGCATACAACTGGGTCTGTATACGCCCCTTACTGGTTTGCCAACCTTAAGTAAATCACTTAAGTTATTATAGCCTTGGCTTCATCTTCCACAAAATGCTTCCTCCCAGATGTATTGTGAAAATTAGAATAGATCAGGTGCCCTGGAAAATATGATGAACAGTGGTGGTTGTCCTACCACTACTTATTTCTTCCTCTTCATTGGCAGGTTTTTCACCTGAGTTTGTATATGGATACATGCTCTTTAGAACTCTCCATTATAACTTAGAGCAAAGTACTGTCATGCATTGATTAAGGGTAGGAAATGTTCTGAGAACTGTGTTCTTCGGCAGTTTGTCATTGTGTGACCATCATAGAGTGCACTTATATAAACCTGGATGGTGTAGATCAATCACTCATTGTAGTGTTTTGATTTCTTGATCTCTAAAGATGTAGCAAACACAAGTGAGACCATTGCCAGAGTAACACTGCACACTGTTTTATAATAGGCTTATTTTTTTTCATGATACTGGGGGTTTAACCCAGCAGCACTCTACTACTGAACTACATCTCCAGCCCTTTTTATTTTATTTTATTTTTTGAGATAAGATTTTGCTAAGTTATCAAGGCCAGCCTCCTTGTGATCCTCCTGCCTGAGCCTTATGAGTAGCTGGGATGACAGGCATGTGCCACTGTGTCCAGTTGTTAACTCTTTATTTTTAAGTAGGAATACACTTAAAAATAATGATAAAAAGCATGTAAACCAGTAACATAGTTGTTTTTAACAAGTAGTATGTACTGTTCCTAATTGTATGGGCTATACTTTCAATAACTGGCTGTGCAGTAGGTTTGTTTATGCTAGCATCACCACAAACAGGAGTGGTACATGGCCCTAGGATGCTATCACAGCTATGTCATCGTTAGATGATGAGGGTTTTCTAGTTCCATTATAATTTTGTGGTCTACCCATCAGAAATGTGTTGTCTCAGATTGAACCATCATGATGTGGTACCTGACTGTATGCCAATCTATGGGCCGGCATAAACTGACATATCTCAAATGGGTCATAGATATGACAAGCTATTAATCCTTAAGGCCTTAGAACATTAGAATGAGACTGAGCTGCTCAAGTCCTGGGATGGTCTCATTGAACTATAAGTAACCTCATCTAAGTATCTATGTCATAAAAACATGATTTTTTTCTATTTGTATCAGGAAACAATGACTGAAAGGCATGGATATGTGGCCCAATTCTGCTTGGTGGGGGTCTGAGGAGAAGTCTTGAGGGGTTAGATCTGGAAAAAGATTTTTCTTCCTAATAAAAAGAGCCATATGAGGGGAAAAAATGCTTTCTTCGGTTTATATTATGTCTATATGTGAAACTGGAATTTTCAGACCATCTTGTAAAAAAAACAAGGTAATGTGGAGAAGAGGAACAATAGCAATAGACTGCAACTTTTACACTGTTGAGCCATTGAGCTGTCTCTGTAATTGCCTACCTTGAGAACTCATATTTACAAGGGATTGTTAAATGTTTCTTATCAATAAAACCATTTTTATTTTTATTTGGTCATTTGCCCCTAGATGCACGCAAGTCTCCAGTAGAAGAGATGGCACATTTTTGACACCTAGTGAATGCTCAGTAATTAGGTTCTTTGCTTTTGGAAAAGCTGCCATAGTCTGATGTGTACCCATCTTATTCCTTAAATATTTGAGGAATTTATTCAGCAATTATCTTCACCTTTATTCTTTTTTAAAAAAAAACTTTTGTAGTTGTAGGTAGATAGATATTTGTTTATATTTATGTGGTGCTGAGGATTGAACTCAGTGCCTCACACATGCAAGGCAGGCACTCTGCCACTGAGCTACAGATCTAGCCTACCTTTATTCTTTTTTTTTTTTTTTTTGGTACCAGGGATTAAACTCAGGGGTACTGGACCACTGAGCCACATCCCCAGTCCTATTTTGTATTTTATTTAGAGACAGGGACTCACTGAGTTGCTTAGCATCTCACTTTTGCTGAGGCTAGCTTTGAACTCAGGATCCTCCAATCTCAGCCTCCCAAGCCACTGGATTACAGGTGTGT